AGCATAGCTAAGGCAGTAGAGGAAACCAGCTCATCTGACAGGTAATTCCTGTGAGGGGGCTTTTTAAATGAAAGGACAACAAGGACAATGAAGACAAAAAATAAAGTTCAGCTGAAATTTGGAAGAAAGTTTATTTTTTTGGTACAAGAGAAGCAGGATTTCGAGACAACTTTCCAACTGGTATAGCAGAGCCAAAAAACCCCAAAACAAAACAAAACACCAAAAACAAACAGAAAAACCCCAAACAAAACACACCCACAGGAAAAAAAAAATCAACCCAGACCTGGTGTGGTGCTTTAAGCTGGAATTGGGTAGTTTCATGAAACAGACTCTGTGATGACAGAAACAGCAGAGGACTTGTCTCTCTAACCCAAGAGATCTCCTCTAGGTTGACTATTTAATGCAGACCATGAAATTTGTTGCATTGAAATGCCATCCCCTCTGTAGGTTTTGGCAGGTATAAGTGGGTTTGATGGATACTCACAATTTGGTCAGAGTGAGAATGTTCTTAAGGACATGAAATGGTCACTTAGGGCTTAAGTATTATAGTCCATCTGGAACAGTACTGATGGTACAGCAATTTACCTTAATGACTCAAGAACATATTTCACAGCAATGCTGTATAGCTGTCTTGACCTAAAAGCCCTCTCATGGCTTGAACTCAAATTTATGCCGCTCACAGAAGACATCCGAAAGAAAAAAGCATATCCAATAAAACCATGAAGAAAAACAGAAGATTTAAAGCTATGAAAACCCAAAGAAGAAAACGTGTTGAAGGAAAATTATACCAACGGTAGCAATGATTATCGAGGTCTCATAGTAATAAGACCATTACTTTGGGGGTCAGCAGTGAAAGCCATTATCAGCCATTATGGGGTGCCCCACATCAGGACAGCAGTGGGGTGCCCTGACTCTGTGGGTTGCAGCACCGGTCAGGCACAGTGCCCGAAGCACTACAGACAGCTCAGCAAGCAGATTCCCTGTCTTTTGGAGATGACATATGGTCATGTCTCTGCTGCAGACAGATGATGTCACCAGAGGACTCGGAAAGAGCCGTTCCCAGCAGAGACAATTATTAGTCAATAGCTGAAAGAGGACAATACGAGTATGTGGGCAAAGGAAGCTGAGGCAGAAAGAATTGGGGTCACACAGCTTTAATCAGAAAATTTACAACAAAATGATAAAAGTTTTGTATTTGAAAACATTAGTGTGTTCATGTCATGCTTAAGACTGATTCAGCTTTCTTAGTTCTCACATATGAAAGTCTGGTCAGTACATCATCAATTTTTGCCTCTTCACACCTACATTCTTCCTGCCTCCCCCCATCAGGGATATAAAGCTGTGAAAGGTAAGCATGGTTTGCTGCGTGGCACGGTTAAAGGAGGTAGCAGCCGGACTGGAAGAGGTATATGGTCTCTGAGGTTTGAGAGGCACTGAACTAGTGCACTGTTTATTCCTGGTATGTGAAAAATACCTCCTTTCTCAAGCAGCAGGGAGCAGGAAGCATCCCCAGGTGGATGCAGGGCTGCTGCAGCATGTGAGGTGTTTTCTGAGAATAGCAGCATCACCACGTAAGGGCTCTTGCTTACAGGGTGCCTACTGGGGCATCCTTGGGGATTGGGACAGGGTGTACAGGGTCCGCCTGCTTCCCCAGACACGAAGAAAGGATTTTCTCCTCGGGTGCCTACCTATCACTGGCTTTGCATCTGAATGCCTTTAGAGCAGGGATTTTTAAGACACAAATTTTTTTACTTCTGAGTATTTCCCTGGGCTGAGGAGTCATGGCCAGAAGTATGTGCTTTCCCTGGAGAGTGAGGCTCCTCTCCTGAACTAGATGTATGTACTGTGGACAGCTGAACTGGGTAGGACAACCAAGCAGCTAGAGAGTGGCACACATTTCCCAAAGACTCTGCTTCTGAACTCCCTGTTTCAAATCTAAAATAATTTATTTCTTGCCTTCTAAACACAATTTTTCAAGGCTCCAGCTGATCTTTTCTTTAGGGTGCTAATTCCTTAATCCTATAATTTTCTAATGTTTCCCAAATTCGCCAGGGGATTCCATCACATGCAATGGTGGCCTTTAAAGAAATCAATGTATGGAGGACTTGACCCAGAATGTTTGCACCAGGCAACCTGAGGGAGGTCACTTCAGATAAGAGTGTCAAGGGACCTTCAGTGACAGCTTGGTTGAAGTCTATGGAATAAAGAAGGCAAGTCATTCTGGCACCTAAAAGGCAGATCAAGCAAATGAGCAAGTTCAGGAGGACCTTCTCACAGCCCAGACCAACAGCTCTGGGGTAGGAATGAGATGAAGACAGACTGGTAGACACACATGTGCACATGTGCAAACACAGCAATGACTTTCAAGCACTTTCCCACTGCTGCTCCCCTGGTAGAGGGAGCAGACACAATGCTGGGAGGATCCCATGGGATGCATGGGAGGATGACTGTGGCAAAGCATCCTGCACCATGCAACCTTTGCCTGCTTACTGCTCTCAGTGTATTCCTCAGCAGCCGGGTAAGAGGAATGTGAGTGTTGTGACTTTACACACAGGCTGTGATGCTACATGATCAAAATGACACAGAACATCACTTCCTCTCTGCAAATCAAGAAGCTCCTGCCCACCCCTGCAGTAAAATCTGTCTGCTTCTTCCCACCATGACATAACAGTTGAGCTACTAGAGCTCTGCTGACTTCAGAAAGGTGCTACTGGTCCTCCCTCAGCTGAGGATCCCACTTCAGGCATTTCAGGCTTGCCTTTTCCATCCATACCTCCTGCATTAGAGCAGGTGGCAAAGAAACTTGCTCCAAGGTGCAGAAGTCATAAATAGGCAAAGTTTTCATGGCAGTGTTCACACTAGATAGCGGAAAAGTTTTAGACAGGAACAATAAGGTATTAAAAAATACATACTAGACAGAGAATCGAGAGAAGACTGTAATGATGCAAACCTGTACATTTGGTTAGACACTTACCTGGCAAAACATATTTAATTACCTTCTATGGATTAACAAAGTGGATAGGTAAACCAGGAACTCACATTTCTTTCAGACAATAAAAAGCAGTGAAGATTTTAGCTCTACCTAGGAGTTAAACTTCAGTGTGCAGAAACTTCCTGGCCCCAATGTCCAAGTCGCCCCAAAGGATCTGTCCTTTATTTCTGTGGTATTTATCAGCTAACACAAGCACAAAAACTGGAAGACAATAAATCATCCCTTTTTTTCTTCTTTACTACTATTTACCTGGGGAGACCCTAGCACAGCAGGCATTCTGCACATTGCAATTCCCATGGAGGCACCAGGGTCCAAAGCCTCTTACAGGATCAGGCCCACCCTTTCCAGGTTAAAAGTTCTGCAGTGCTTCCATCTGGAGAAGGGGCCCAAACCAAAGCACTCTGATTGTCACCAGAGTGAGCTACAGCAAGAATAAAGAGTCATATTTTTTCATTGTTTCCTTTGGCACATACAACACAGAGCATGTCTTTTTTGAATTACAACTTTTTATTAGATGAACACAGTTTAATACATAATGTGTACATGGCCTAGGATGCAACGTGCTCCCTCCCCTACTGAGTTACAGAACACTGACGCCGTGAAGGTGAACACCAGCTCTGCATTTGTGCCTCACAGGGATGTTACAGATGGCTGGGAGTGGAAGCTTTGCACACATGTAGGTCTACACAGGACAGGATGACACACATTAGGAAGAGGTGAAGTAGGAAAAGAGGAGTAAGCTGGATCTGCCCTGGCTGGAGGACTGCTCTCAACAAACTGCTCTCCATTTTCCCTCCCAAATTCTTTAGGGAGCAAGAGGGTGAAGGATAGGCCACGATGCAGTGGAAGTCCTGTGGAAAGCGATGCTATGTGGTTTCACACATGGCACTGCCAGCCAAAGGCCCCTGCGAGAACCCCTGGTCACGGCGCCGTCACAAGCCGTGCGCCATTCTGCACCACGTCTGCCACTCCTGCTCTCTGTGCAGGGTGGCAGGGTTCCATCCTCCTGCTACTGCTTGTGCCAAGATCTGGTGAAATCAGTGAGTCACTGAAGACTAATGGGATTTGGCACTTTCCTGATGATCACCCCATTCTTGCACTCCTACATCTGAACCATGGTATTGCCCCAAATAATGGCCTGATGGGGGAAAAGGGTAGGGAGGGACAACCAGAAAATGCAGTGAGAGCTTGGCAGCTACTCTTCACTTCAGTCACAGCACTTGTGCTGCTCAACACTTGAATCAGATACTTATTGTAAACTAAGTGTAAACATGGATTTATGGGCTTTACTGCAAGTCCACTTCCCTTGGAAGGTTTGATTCTAGACAGTCAACAAATAGGAAAAGAGAAAAAAGAAAATCACCTAAGAAAAATCAGAAGTTCAGAAGACTCATCAAAAACTGTTTCAGTCTTACAAAGCATGTGCCTTTTGACTCAGGCCTTGAAACTAATTTACTGTATTATTAAAAAAATGGCAATATAGAAACTACCCCTTTCTCAGTTCAAAGTTTAAGCACATCTAGGAAGAACCTACAGAAACAGTCCTCTTTCTGGCAAGGCACTATCCAGTAGTGTGTGGCACAAACAAAAACACCTCTATCAAAGCCACTGATACAGTGAATGTGCATGTGCACGTCAGCCCACACAGCAGCTTCAGCTAGGTACAAAGATCTACAGTTTAATTCACACTGCTCTCCCTTTTAAAAAGTGGAGTAGTTAGAAGTATTAACTAGAAATTTGGACCATTTGGTTGGTTCTCAAGCATACCTTTGTATGCAAAAATTTTGAAGAGAACTAAGAATTTATTATTTCTTTCAATAACTGTCTCTAGTTTCCCCAGACCTTTTCAGTTACCTGATAGCTACATTTCATTATTACAAAACTGGTTTAAAAAATTCCAGATCATCTTGTGTAACAAACTAGAACTCTACTTAGTTTAACTACAAAAATAAGGCTGTCGCACAACAGACCAAATTCACATTCAAATAACACCTCTTTTATATATATATATATATATACTTCTTTTTTTTTAAAACTAGTCACTTATAATTCAAAAGCACATATTCTAAGGGACTTACACTGCCAATCCATACAAGCAAGCAGAATATCTTCAGAGTTAGTGTTGTCCTCCACACAGATTATGCCCACATGTGTGCTCTGAAATAAGCTAGGTTTACTTAACAGCTGTAACAAGACTAACTCTCCACTAAATGAGAGCCTTCTATTCTACATTTATCAAAATTCAAGAGGAGTTTTGCAAAACTAATTTCATCCCTGGAGGAATCAGTGTGGTTTTGCCTTTCACATCAGTAAGCCTGGGATTTTGCCCAGGATTACTCATGTGTATATACTTACACACTTAGGTAAATTTTTCAAACCCAGGACTTCAGGCAGTTCTAGAAGTTTACAACGTATCAAGTACATGATAAATCCAGGATGGCTTTTCTGTAATCAACTGTGCAATTATGTAAATTTATATATGTATTCATTTACAAAGTTAAATATTTAACTTCCTTCTAGGAATAGTTCCTTCTGCTGTTAACTTGGTGAAGTTAACAATGTCATATTCCCTTCCTATAGTGAGATTCAAGTCTCATGAAAATATGGGATTGGTTACAAGAATGTCACAGTACCTTAACACAGACAACAATTCTTAAAAACATATATTCGGGATTCCTGTAGAGAAGGTGCCACGGCTAAGATTTTGACCAGTAAATACAACCATGGACTTCAAATCCGTGTGTGCTCTTGCTCCATCTAGCCCTTTAACTGAACTGAAGAGCCAGGTTTGTTCAGTCTGGTACAAAGAAGGCTAAGATGTCATCTAATGGTAGACTACAACTATCTTGAGGGCAGTTGCAAGAAGAATGGTGCCAATCTCTTTCTGAGTCCCAGAAAACTCAGTAAAGGCAACAGCCACAAATTACAGCCTAGGAGTCAAAACTGGATTTTATAAGAAAGTTTTCACTAGGAAAGCATTGCAGCAATGGCACAGGTTACCTACAGAGTTATGAGATCTTCATCTTTGGATATTTTTAATGCTCTGCTAGACAAATCTATATCTGATCCAAGCCAGTGTTGTCGTTAGCCCTGATTTTGACAGTGCTGGGCCAGATGACCTCCTACTGTTGTCCCTTCCAACTAACATGTCTTGTATGCCACGTTTACTGATGTTAACAGAACATTCAATTTGTTGCACAAGACAGTGTGACACTTTTTACAAGTTTAGCTTCCTTCAAGCCACACAGTCTGAGTGGTACTGTGATTGCAAAGAAGCTTTTCCACATAATGGTTGTCTTTCATTACCCAAAGACTGTGATGGCACTACCCTGTCATTATGAAATCACTTGAGTTAAAGACACATTACAGCATAACTGTTATTTTCATAGCCAAACTTGATTCAAGATGCATAATGCAATTTGACTTCTCTCTAGAATGCATTTTGTAATGTATATTACAACGGGCCTAAGTTCTGCTATACACATCAATGCAGTCTCCCTAGAATAATCTCCACTTTCTTTACTTGGCTCCTGTTCCTCAGCTGAACTGCCATTGTGGCCTTATCCAGCAAAGCACACACCCAGATTTTTCACTGTCTTTGAGGCACCATCACATGACCACATCTGGGGATATAACCAAGACAACAGCTAGGCAAATTAGGCGTGCTCTTGGACCATAGTAGTGTTAACCACCCATGGGACTGAGCCCTGACTCTCAAAGTATCCCCCTGACTTTCACGTGGCTTGTGGTGGAGCTGTGTGTTATTGGAGGTAAAGTGAAGGGTTTGGCAAAATTTCAAGACAGACTGACTACAGAGCTCCAACTGTGGGTGTTAAGACTTTCTCATTTAAGAGATAACTTCATATTACCATTAGCTACAAGACCCCTTTAGTTCTTCTGAACTCCCCGGTATTTCCACCAAGTGTTTTCCTGCACGTTTCACCTGCTTTTGGAAGAGGAAACGTCAAAATATTTCACTTTGGCACCTCCCTCATGAAAGGAATTGGTTTTAAACAGTCAGTTGCAATGTGCATCATTAGACAAATCAAGTCTTGATGAACAATATTAGCAGCCCATGTCTCTTAAAATAACCATCATCTAGAATAAACATCACAATAAATAAATGTAGAGCAAAAATACAGCAGTTATTGACTTAGACAGAGATCTCAAAATTTATGTTTTTTATCTTCTGGATCATAGCCAGCACAGACAGCCTAATTAACCATGAGCACTTTAACTATCATGATGAGCTAATTTGGGAAGACTTAAAAACAGTAGGAAGTTTGACTACATAAGTATATCCATGAATGATATAAGCCCTACACTTCCACTCCTTGCTCTCAAACATACATGTCTGTTAGAATATCAGGGCCAGTTGCAAGAGCAAGCCAAAGACAAAAGTGAAACATCAACAGTGAGTATTATTAAAAAGGAAGATGAGTAGCCTGGCCTGTTTCATACGTGTGTCATTAGCTCCAGACTATTGGAGAGCACCATCTCATGGCAAGCAGACTACTACTAATGATGCGTGTTTGCTCTATCACAGTGATCCATTAGGGAAGCTGTTATGTGCTGAAGAACAGGGTCATTCATTCAGAAATGTGCTTGTTGGGGCTTCACATCGGCTTTCTAGGGTTCTGATGCCTACTGAAAAGACAAAAACAAAATATTGGTTATTACTAATATAATATTAATGTTTTGAATACATTCTCATCTCCTGTGCCTGTGCCCTTTGCATATAAGGTGTCCCTAACCTTGGTCCACATAGCAGCTGAGGATGCATCCTCTGAAGTGCTACCAGACTGAAGCGGATAGTTTATAGAGACATTCCTCCAGGCCTACAAGAGGATATTTTCTAGGAATAGAGCTTTTAAGAATAGAGTATTTCAGATTGCATCTTTTTCCTACGATTCTCCAAGCTACAAAATGAGGCAGGCTGCCAAAATAACCTGCTTTTGCAGTTCTCTGCTGAGGTTCCTTCCCACTCCTGTCCCTCATGGGGTCCATAAATAAATCAATTCCTGGCAGAAGAGGAGCTCTATAGATACACAAGAGCTACCATCCAGTCCTGAGACAGTACTACTACAAAACACACCTATATCTACAGTACCCAAGAGAAGAAAAATCCTCCCCTATGTGTCTAATCTACAACCAGAAGGTGCACCACAAAGTCTCTTTGAACAAGTGTCCAGGCTTCCATATGGCAGTAAAATTTCCTCTGTTATACTGATGTCCATAGAAAGATGCTACCTGGCTTTGTGTTCTGACCTGTGTATATGTGTTTGTTAAAACTGAATTCTTATCCAAAAAGTTGATATAATTTCTGACTGCTCCAGCGCTTCAGCATTAAAAAAAAAAAAAAAAATCAATGCCTAATGAATAAATGCTGAGCCATTATGCCAGGCTACAGACATTCCAGTGCTTAAGATCTTAGTTCTGTCTCCTGCTATAATTCATCCAGTTGCTTACAATTTAGATTGATAATGTGAAGGAGAATGTATTCTTAAAACTTAATTTATCTGCTGTCTCAAATCAACTCCCATGTATATGCTCAATTTCATTTAAAATGCTTTGCTTTTCCTGACAACCATTTCAATTACCTCATCAGCATGAAGTTGATATGGACAAGGTATGGATCAGGGCAGTGGTGCATCCAAACACACAGGGTTCTTTCCGTTCAAAGAAAATTCATTTTCACTATTTCAAGAATTCCATGAAAAGTCTGCAATATGACACTGACCTTTGATGCCAAAGTAGGTTTCAGTCCAAGAAAGGAGAACACAGTGTTGCTCTCCTTTGATTCAAAAAAGCCATCATAATCCTAGAGAATTAAAAGCAAGAAAGATGAATCAACATTTGTATTTATGTTTTCCTGACTGATATTACCACGTCTTGTATTAGACTAAAGGCTGACACGTAATAATGCTCAGAAAAATACTGATTGTCCTATGCAAACCTAAAACCTATTCTAAATTGCAACAATATCACCAACTACAGTGGCAAAGAAAAACATATATTCTCTAACTGCAATACCTCTCACTAATTTATTTGACAGGAGAGTATAAACACAGACTTGAATCAAAGGAAATCTATTGTGGGCGTATTTTAAAGGTATTTAAGTGCCTGACAATGCAAATAAGTTTCTGACCAGGTTTCCAATTTACATTTTAGCAAACAAAATACTCCCTAACATGGAAACCTCCAAGAAATCCTAAGGCAGCTGAACTCATTATTTCTTCTGTTGTGGAACAGAGACTTCATCATTGTATCCCTTGAAATCAGCAATCATATCTCAGCCTTGGCCAATCACATAGTTCAGTATAAAATAAATAAACTTATTGTATATAAAGATAAAAAAAAAGCTTAACTATCATGATTAAGTTCCTTTTAGATTTCAGCTGCTTAAAATCCGGTTCTGATCTTGAAGTGTTAACTACTACTTTTACTGATTTGATTATTGCATTGGATACCTGTTACTCATCTATTATCAGATGAGCTGACAATATTCAGTTTTCAAGGCAAAAAAACAGAGAAAATCAGAGCACAGTTTAGTGAATGGATCTGGCATATAGCAAGAAGGCAAGAAGTTTCATGTGCTCTTTGTGGTTTGGCAAAGATTTCTTCTATGACCACTAGCAAACAAGAAACACACAGTTCAGATTCTTCCTCCACCACATAACTGCAAAATGGAAATATCAATCCTTACTTAACCACTTCTGACATGTAAAATACTCTGTAAATGTCAGAAAAATTCCAGGATGTGCTCATCACTGCATAGCAATTATCTCTAAATATCCAAGATTAGCAGTTATGCTAAACTTGGAAGTATTCAACAAGAGAAATCCCTTTAAATATTGACTGTGCACATACATACTTTCAACACAGAATAATAACAGGCAGTCTTGGCATCTCCACATGCTTCCTACCTGTCATTCCCAATCACCTGATCCCCCAGGTTAGCACTTCTTTGGCTCCTAACCTCTAGTCTCATTACTTTTGGGGAGCTCATCTCTCAGCGTTAGTTTGTCGTGGTTTCGGCTGGGACACACTTTCAGGGGCTTTCCCTGAAACTGGACCTCAATTTTTCCCCAGCAGCAACTGCTTTGCCTACTTGTCTCCTTCCTGTATTCTCTTGAACATCTAACCACCCCACAATTACAAGGGGAACATGGATGATAAACAGAAGTTCTAACTGAAAAGAAGAAATCTTCTTCTGACCTGGTTATTCTCAGAAAGCTCTCTTTCTTTTTTTCTCTCCATCAATGTAAAATAAATGACTGTTTGGGCAGAAAACACACAGTCACCATAGCAAAAATAATGTGTTTCCCATGAGATCCCTAATCACCCTGCAGATGTGCAGAATTTCTCAACAAACATTTATGGTGTTCTAGATAAAGATGCTTTACCAGCATTTCGATAATTGCTATATTGCTATATATATATATTGCTATATCAATGTGAACACAACTGTCCTAGCTAAGTGCTACTTTGCAGTTGCATAATTATTCAAACAGTCTCAGCCCCCCCAAAAAAACCACAACCCACAGCTGCACAAAGGCAGTTTCCCAGCCCAACCCTCTATACTGAAAGTATGAGCCCTGAAAGACAGAGAGGTTTGCAGAAGTGCATAATGGTGTGCAAGTTTGGAGCTGGCTTCCCACCAAGTCTCCAAAACTCAACAACAAAGCCTGCTTCCCAGAGAGGGAATGAAAAAAAATCCAAACAGCCAAAGCTATAGCAAAAAAAAATATATTTTACATATAAAACAGATATATACAGTGAGAATACTATATACATATAACCCCAGAAACCCCAAATAGCTTCCTAAAGGGGAAGAGGGGAAGGGAGGAGGGAAAAAGGACAAAAAAAAGGACAAAAAGGGACAGAAACAAAACAGGTATACACAGTCTAAAACCCCAGTAACCAGCAAAATAAAGAACTGGCAAAATCTCACCACTTCCCTTGAGGAAAGCAGGACAGCCAGACCGTGGTCCAGCACTCTTCCCTCCCACAGCAGCAGACAACAGCAGTCAATACAGGCCTTAACTTCAGATAAGCAAGACCATGTAGGGATCTACTGTTCTTGAACCTCGCCGGAAGAGAAGAGAGCGAGGTCTCTCCCGTTGGCTTTATTTATACCTCAGGTTACGTAAAGGAATAGCATGGAATACTTCCTTGGTCACTTCCCTAGTTCCTTCCTGGTTACAAGCTGGTCTCCAAGAAGGTCTAGGGTGAAAACTATCACAAATGGTCATCAGGCCTTGGACATATTAGCTGACATGAGTAGAAAGCAGAAAGAGTAAACCTTCTTAAGATGTGGTTTTTTGTTGTTTCCTTCTTAAAACATGGCATATGCTAATTTCTGAATTAACATAAATTTACAGTTAATAGCCTGAAAACAAATCCAAATAAAATAGACAAATCAACTAAGCCATGGTGTAGGCTGAAAGGAATCCTAACAGTGCCATGGATTGAAAAGGGATAACATAATCACTGAATTCCTAGAAGAGCAATAAGTACTGAAGCTTTACAGAAGGATGTTTGATTAAGTCCTTGACCTCTACAAATGAGACTTCAAAAATTGAATGGACACTGTTAAACTTGAAAAAGGTCTGTTTTGACTCTTCTAAAAGCAGATGAAAAGCCACAAAGGTCACAAGCTATATAAGCACTCACATGTGAAGACAGCACATGATCTAACCAAGAAATAACCTTAATTTTCTCCACTGGGTTCATCTATAAGTGCGTCACACTGTCTCTGGAGATGAAGATAGGGGAGCAGTGGATGATTACAACCCACAGTGAGAAGCACAAGGGCACTGCTCCTTTAATATCAGGGCAGGTTTAAATTGCCTGAAGATGCTCATTACAGCCCCGCAAACTACCAGCAACCAACCTGCGGGCAGGCAGCTATTGTGAGTATTTCTGCAGCAGCATGGCTCAAGGCAGGCATCTGTTTTGGTCCCTGCCAGGAGCATCCATGCCTCCTAAGCACAGAGGCAGTTTTCATGAACCTCCAGACACTTGTCTTGACAGTCTGTCCAAGGAAGGTTCTGTGTTTTTTCAGGTGAGTCATCATCTCTTATCACCATTTTCAAATTCTGTGGTTCTCCTGAAGTGTCTTAATGCCAGTACTTCAATTAGCTCTGAAAGTATCACTACTCTAAGACCATATTTTTTTCACTCTGTTAATAAACTAGTAAAAAAACAGGGTAGGGAAGAACTCACAGATTGAAAATAATGTCATAAGAAATAAGGCTGTGTTGCTGGCTCTGACAATGACTTTGAAACTCAGTTAATCCACTAATCTGTTTACCCTAACCTCTGTAATGTAATTTAATACTTAATAATAAAAAGCTGTCTTCAAGCATCAGTTATAATTTTTACTTTCAGATTTATCGAGTCCTGATTTAGTATGTTTTGTCCACATTTTTACTGATTATTAGACCTGGATTCACTTACTGAAAAAATCGTGAAGGTTAAACAATGAGCTAAACTGAGTAAGTTTTATGTCTGAAAGGGTACAAAACCCAGTGGATTAATTTTGAAAGGACCAGGATATTTAATAACCAAAAGAGATTATCCACTAAAAGTAATCTCCCCAATGTTTTGAAATATCTGCATTGCAAAACCTATTAAAATGCTATTGACACTTACTTTCATGGGGGATGGGGGGGAAGAAGCATCATGCTTTTAGCTAAAGTAGCAGTAGAATTTTAAACAGGACAACTTTCCTACTAGTCTCTACAATTAAAACAATCTCAAAATATTCAAATGTAAAAAAAATATTATAAAAATGCATAAGTAATCTGATTTTAAGAAATCACTTTATCATGGTAGTTTCTTAAGAGATTATTGAGAAATATGATCTCAGGAACTCAGCAGTTGTGCTTTGGCATGTGGTAGGAGTGGGCAAACCTGGCTTTTCCTGTAACATGTATGAGATAACAGATATTCCAAAAAGACCCTGCCTTTGATCTTACATTTATAAGAAGAGGAAGTCTGTGCAGATTTGGGCCACAACCAATCTATAGGTGAGGACATGAAAATTCTTATCTCACATAAAGAGCATCCCACTGCTACCAGCAGTAGATGCAGAGGCTGGAGAAGCAAAATGGTGCCAAGCTCAGTGGAAGCTGAGAATTTTTTTACGTGAGCAAGAACTCAACTCACTGGTGAGCCAATGGACTCCATCTGGAAAAATTCTGTGGCACATTCTGCCTCCCACAGAAGGACACCACAATTCAGTGGTTTTGGCCATGCAGTGGTTTCATGCATCAGCACCAAGTTACTACAATCCCTTTGTCACTGTCCCAGGCAGCTCTACCAAGGCAGCAGGTGCTGCAGCTTTGCTGGAATCAGTGGAGCAGTGCTGTCTCGCCCCTGTGCAAGGAAGCGGCTCCCACTGACACCCTGGAGACACTCAGAAAGCAGCTGTTAGTACAGCAAACTGCTACCCACTGCCCCACTTCAAAAGGCAACTATGTGTACAAACATAATTTTGACTGCAACATTTTCAGTTGTGATACTTGGTGCTTTCCAGAGTGCCTAATTATACTTTATTTACGTATAAAATTCTGGCAACATCAGTAGCTGATTAGAACTAACTAAAAAACTGATGGGACATGGATACAGCGGACATGAATCATCAGTGACACAAAGATGCTCAATCCCTCTGGAAAAGTTGAAAAGCCAAAAATACAGATGATAAATCCCACAGCTGAGGGTATGAAAGCTTATCAAAAGAGACAAAAGCCAGTTAGCAGGAAAAAATATATCTCAGAATGGTTGGAGGGGATAAAGAAGTGACGGGAGCATAAA